CTATCTTTAAGCATGATAAGTCTATTATAGAAATAAGGCAGGTGTGGATAATGGTTTCAATACATCCGTATTAAATGAACCATATACATGTAGGTTTTTTGAAAAAGACAAAAAAATAATTCAGAATTGTCAAAATTTTTCTTTTAATGTTTGTTGTTAACAACATGTTAGATGACAAATAAATGGTTACAAAGCAACAAAGTTTTTTTAAAAAAAAAGCAAAATTTATACATGTATGTTGTTATACAAGCATTAATGATGACTCACACACATAAAATGTTTTATGATAGCTCCCACACTAAAATGTAACATGCCTGGCAAAAAGATGCAAGCTGGTTATATATTGTTATGTAACTCGAACAGGATTTAAATTTTTTATCAAATTGATATTTACATAATTTACACAAGTTTCATAATTTGAAAGTTTTAATTTAACACAAGTTTCGTAGTGTGAAATTTTTAATTTGAAGACCCAACAATGTGTATTAATATGCTTGTCAGAAATAATCTAAATATATACATGTATAAATACATATGTATACATTCTTTAAAACCAACTGACCTCTTTTTGCTCAAGTTACAAATGAGTAATTACAAAATGTTGTATAACAAAGATTTTTTTCACAACAAAAAATATAATCTCTTTAACACATAAACACATTTATACATTATAAAACTTCCCCTTAAACATGCTTTAAAAAAACAACAAATAAAAACACACGATTATATAAAAAGTCTATTAAAATACACCAGAATATTGTAATAGAAAAAAAACAAAACTTTTTTTATGAATTTATATTTCACTCTGGAAAGGTTGCTATAAAAGCATTTTAGTTCTCAGGTCAGAATCACAAAAAATATATATGTAAGTGGAACAATTAATGTATTTTTGAAAATTGTCCTTTTTTAATGTATTTGCTCCTATTGTTACTATATTTTCAACTGTGTTAAACCTCATAAAAATGATTTTTGCAATACATTACTTAATTTGCATTATGCTTGTGAATTCAGAAATATATCACTGAATTTGCAAAACCTGTATATTTCTTACCATGAAAATTTGACTTTTTTTTTTACACAAACATTTTTTGTTTTATACTTTTAAAAATGATACAAAAAACAAACCAACAACAGTAAACTGTTGTTTTCAAATTAAAGAAAACAAAACAACAACTTGTAAAACTATCAGACAAAAAAAACTACACAACCTTGTAATTTAAAGTAAAAACCTTTTAAATTCAAAAACAAGATTGCATTTGAGAAAAATGCTATGCCACCGCATTAATACAACACTAAATAGTAGTGTAGGAACAGATTTTTTTTGTTTCTATACAATTGAAGATTGTCATAATGCATATCTAATTCTTATTATCAGATTAGTGGTTAAATCTATTGTTAACTCAATAAAAGATCAGAGTAGGAATATATCAATGCACTTGAGTCCAGTGAATTTGGTGGTGAAGGTCATATTTCACACAGCCTAAAATTTCATGACTGCATCAAAGGACAACATGTAAGTCACTTTGTCAAAATCTAGGTCAGCTGATATCAAAGTTCACTTTTTATTTTTACACTAGAGGCAAAATTTGAACAACTTTGGTAGAGTACCTATAGATGATATCATTTAACAAATATTAAAGCTCTAAGCCTTGTACCTTCAGACAATAAGATTTTTTTTCATTTTTTACTATATGTATATATTGAAAATCAATGACCCCGGGCGGGGGCAATTTTGACCCCAGGGCTATTATTTGAATATTCTTGCTAGAGGTTCACTTCACAATGTTTCATGCAAAGTATCTAACCTCTAGCATTTGTCAATTGCTAGAAGAAATTTTTTTAAAGTTTTTACTATAAGTTTTTACTATGTAAATATGAGGAAAATCAATGACCCCCGGGCCGGGCCGATTTTGACCCCAGGGCTTTAATTTGAACAATCTGGGTAGAGGTCTATCAGACAATGCCTTATGCAAAATATCTAAGCTCTAGGCCTTTTGGGTCTTTACAAGAAGGTATTTTAAATTTTTACTATATGTACATATAGTGAAAATCCATGACCCCCCGGGGCAGGGCTGATTTTGACCCCAGGGCTATAATTTGAACAATATTGGTAGAGGTCTACCAGACAATATCTTATGCAAAATATCTAAGCTCTAGGCCTATGGGTCTTTACAAAAAGGTATTTTAAGTTTTTACTATATGTACATATAGTGAAAATCAATGACCCCCGGGGCGGGGCCGATTTTGACCCCAGGGCTATAATTTGAACAATCTTGGTAGAGGTCTACCAGACAATGCCTTATGCAAAATATCTAAGCTCTAGGCCTTTTGGGTCTTTACAAGAAGATTTTTTAAATTTATTCTTATAATTCCTTTTGGTTGCCATGGCAACCAGATTTCTGCATGGAATTAAATTCTTTGAACAACTTTGGAAGCCCTTCACCCAAGGATCCATCCTGCCAAGTTTGGTTGAAATTGGACTAGTGGTTTTTCAGAAGAAGATTTTTTAAGTTCACTATATAATCTATATAACACACACACACACAAACAAACAAACAAACACACACACACACACACAGGTGAATCGCTATATGCCACCGCATCGCAGATGCTGCGGTGGCATAAAAATAATTTCTAGGCAGCCATCACCACTGTTAAGATTGCATTAAAAAAAACACAGCGCCGTAATTTTGAACAATTTTTGAGATTTCAAGACTACTGGATAAAATATTACTACATTTTAATCACCCAGGTATTTTCACAAAATTGAAATATAAAATTAATGTAGTCCTTTTTTTTTTTTTTTTTTAAATGACTTACTTCAATATTTTTATATTTTGAAATATTAAATCTTTCAAATTATCAATACATACTACAATGAAAAAGGTTTCTTACTTTATATGAGTATATTAGTGATCTTATTGTAAAAGGTCATGTGAAAAAAAATTAAACAGACGACCTTAACAACAAATTAACTGTGACTGTTAGGAGACAACACAATGAAATGACTGAAATGACTAGAAAAAAAAACACATAAACAATATTACAGAAATACTGCCATATAGCATACATTTATATTTATAGATGAATAAAAAATATTTGTTACCGTAGGCCAATATTGTTGAACAATCATTTCTTATACTCTGTTTAAAAAAAACTAATTTCACCTAACTTAATATATGCACACCAAATTCCAGCTTTAAAAAAAAAGAATAAAAAGGGGCCAGTACTCTTGCCAGAAAACCACTAAACCAAGAGTTTCCCCACAGTGCTGTTAACACATCTGTTATGTGGTAAAATATCAAACCTAAAACATAGATTGATGTTTTATTAGTATCCCTGAAAATTTGCATTGAAATCAAGACATGTATTTCATGGGATTATTGTAAATTAGTAACTTTTATATTATTTTAAGTGCTTCATCATGCTTTCTAAAATGGAAGTGAACAAAAATTCCTTGTTGACACAGAGACACACATAAACACATACAAAGCAGGTAAGAATAGAAATCTATTGTATATCAATCTCTTATAAGAATATCTTGAAAATAAAAGCCAGCAAAATTCTGTGCTGAAATGGCTGACATTAGGAAATAGAGAATTTAACAAAATAATCTATCCAAAATATACACTCTTGAATAATATAAGAAAATGATTACATAAAAAAATCATGCAAAAATAGAACATTGTATTCAACAATATATTATGGCTCAAAAATTTATATTATGAACTGTTTATTCTACCAATATATCTACAATATGAATGAATAAAAACATACAAAGTAACAATAGAAAAACATATACAACAGCACATGTACATGTCACTTTTACAATATAATCATTTAACCCCTTAACGAGCTATATATCTTAAATGGACAAAACCATTCATCATTTTCCAAAAAACTTTCAAAATACTGACTGAATAGCAAATAGTACAGACCATGATTTGACAGGAAAGATGTACTGGCTGATGTAGGTCTACACTGGTCACATAGGTAGAACCTTTTGCTGCCAGCAGACTAAGAGTGGAATAAAGGGGAATAATTCACCTACTAGTTCAGGTCCTGCCCATTTTGTTGTTTTGGGGTGGGTTTTTTTTTCTCTCTAGAATGAAGAATTTATGTTCATGTCAAATATGAGTAGATTACTGAAAAAATATGTTTTATATCCAAATATGCAAACATACTTGAATATTTTTTCTTAAAAAAATACTTTTGTCAAGCAGTGGAAATTATTTCAAAATTACAATTTACAGAAATATACCCTTTAATTAATTAATCAAAAATTTCAATTTTATGAAATAAATTGTTTTCTATATAAAATCACAAAGTTGTATTAGATTTTATCAATGAAATTCACAAAGTTTTTTTAAGAATTTTTTATAAAAAATTTCACAAACTTATTTTAAACTGCAAAAAACAAAATTAGAAAAAAGAAAAACAAAAATGCACTGTGTTGTCACAAAATGTTCTTGAATTTTATTCACGTGGATGAAAGTTGGAAATTTAAATGTTCATAGAAATCCTAAAAATAACATTCCTTTTATATTATATTCAGACAAACGATGACTCAAGTCTACGAAAATGTTGATTATCAGAAATAATCTTGAAATCTTCCACCCATGTATTAAGCAATGAAAATATACCTATGTAAACTATTACACAGCCATACCAGCCCATCTATCTATAGCCTGATGAACCTCTTCACACGCTGCTGGTCAATTTTGATCTTATAATCCCTGATTCATAACAAGAAAACTCGAAGATAAAAGCAAGGAAAAAAAAGCATACTACAAAAAATCAGCGGGGTTCTGTTTAATATAATTTGATGATATACAAATAAACCGATGTTTCTTTCATGTATTTTATAATTTACAGCATATATGACTTATAATTTCACATTTTAAATGCAACTTGCAGGCATCAGAATTGCTCATAATGATTCAACTGTAACAATACATTACTATAATATACAAAGCTTAGAGCATTGGAAAAAAAAAATATTTTCTAATTTCACATTGCTTACAGCATTGCAAAAAAAATTAGAAAATAAATCAAGCATCAAATATTGGAATGTCATGAAAAGATCACGCAAACAAAATAATATATTTCAGTGGGAGTGAGTAAAGCACTTTTTTTATATATTATATATGTAAAATCGAATAAAATGTTATATGACAGTATGTGCATGTTATGCACTCGAAGGTAAGGTAAGTTGTGGATGCAACAAAATAAGCAATTTACATATTCAGTACTTAAGATGTAAAAATCATGCAAAAAAGATTTCAAAAATAGTGGGTACACTCATTTATAAATAATATATATACAAATGAGTGCTTTAGTATGCTAGAAAAAGAGGACAGTCACCCAGACAGATAGTCAAACAGTAACATTTTTTAACAGAAAGACTTACAAAATTTGCTTTAATTTACAAAAATCAATAAAAAACCTCTGCATTTTGCCATAAGGCGTACTGATTCTATATTTAGCCATCTTAAAAATTGAGATATAACTTCATAATGGCTATAATCCCCTTAAATCTAAAACATGTATTATTGATTTATAATACTGCAAATTTGTAATGTTTAATGCATAAAGAACTGTCATAATGTTTATATTTATTGTATGAAAGGCAAGTGAAGATATTAATGTTAAAAAAAAAACAAAAAAAAAACGTACTAAGTGCATACAACTTTTTAAACATGTTCCTCTCATATAAGTTATTGTAGTAATTTTTATGTTGTTTAAATTTCATTAATTTGCTCTGGCACATAAGCCACGGCAGGATACAGCAAATACAATGTACGGTAATAAAATATACATTATATCAACAAAATTCAATAATTATGGTTTCTTTACAATAATATTGACAGTTATTCTCATGTGAACAGAGATTTTTTTTAAAGTATAGCTCAACTAGTATTTAACTTGTTTCACAAAAAAATGGCAAATTATTAATAACTAGTGATTATTTACAAAAAAAAAACCTTCCATACAGTTACATTAAAATGGTAGATGTTTCTTAATGACCATAAAAAAGCATTGAATTATATGAACTGTGATTTGAATGTGGTGGAAGACATGAAAATGGGTTAGTTTTGTTACTCTTTTTTGAAAGATATAGCTACTATACTAATTAACACTTTTTGCACTATGTACTACCAAAACAATAATCTAAATATTGTGTCAACATAAATAAAACTAACAGATGAAAAGATTGTATATTGAATTTCCTAAAACCTTACATGTTTCTCTTTAAAGCTAGTAACCCACACACTGTGGTTTGTGAATTTATAGATGTGTTAAATTTCAAATAATCTCCTGTATTTCAAAGACTGGTTATTTCCCCAGTACACTTTATTTCACAGACAGGATATTTCACCCATATTTCACAGACTGGCTGCTTCACCCATTTTTCACAGACTGGCTATTTCATGCAATCACAGACTGGCTATTTCACCCATTTTTCACAGACTGGCTATTTCACCCATATTTCACAGGTTGGCTATTTCACCCATATTTCACAGGTTGGCTATTTCACCCATATTTCACAGGTTGGCTATTTCACTTAATTTCACAGGTTGGCTTCTTCACCCATTTCTCAAAGACTGGTTATTTCATGCATATTTCACAGACTGGCTATTTCACCAATATTTCTTAGACTGAATCACTGATTCTTTCATCCATATTTCACAGACTGGTTATATAATGGAAAACTTTTTAAAAAAAATTTATTGAAAACTTTTTTTCTTTCAAAAATGTGAAGTAAACATGCACATCCATTGTTCCTGAAGGAAGTTTACCAGTCCAAAAACCCAGGGTTCTTTTCAATAAACAACAATGGCATATGATAAGAGTGAAAATTGCTTTACAATTTCACAGTTTTAGTATTTTTGAAGGCCATTTGATACCAACTTTTGTAGGTATAATTGTATACCAAAGTTTACAGAAATGTTAAAACAACTGTGAGTGGGTTAGCAGTTTTACAAGTGTACATGTAGTTGATTAAAGAATAAAAACTTGTTAATACATATGTATTACAGAAAAAAGTGGCTAATATCAAACACAAATCAAGCATGATTCTAAATACCAACACCAAGGTTTTCTAACAATAGACCACCATTTCCATATATTTATAAAACTTATTGATGATTGATTTATATGAATATATTTCATTTCTTTCAAAATATTTTATCTTGATGCTGATTGGTTCCTTATCTAAGTCCTTTCAGAACTATGTAAACTTGTAACTGAATGGTTCCATTGAACATACCATTAAACATATTGTATTCCTTTTAGAAGAATGTTACGATGATGCTGACTGGTTCCTTCAGATATATATCTTAGCCCTTTCAGACCTATGTAAACTAGTAGCTGATTGGTTCCATTGAACATACTGTATTCCTTTAAGAAGAATGTTTATTAGTTGCCAACTGGTTCCATCAAATAAATTTTATTCTTTTTGGAACAATGTTACCTTGTAGTTGATTGGTTCTTTCAAAATCTTGTATTCCTTTCAACGTAATAATATAAGCTTCTTGTTTGTTTATTGGGCATAATTATATCTTTAAATTTCATTTGGAAATAGTATGTTTGTTTCCTTTTTTGTTCCCAGTCATCAGCAAATTGTAAGCAAGTTACTGATTGGTTGTATATTTCTTTATTTATCCCTGTTCATTGGTCATAAGCACATTGTAAACATGTTACTAATTGGTTGTAAACATTTGTATTTTCTTTTCTTTTTTATTGGTCATCAGCACATTGTAAGCTTGTTACTGATTGGTTGTTTCAAATGAAGTTCACTCTCCTGTGATACAATTGGTATTTTCTGTGTTCTATGGAACTGTATCAAATGAGGTACACTGTCAAATGAATGGTCCTTTGTTCTCACCTACAAAAGCATCATGCATATGAAAGATGTTAGCAATAAGATACACTTTGCGACCAAGGCAGTCATGATAGCCGCAAGCTGCAAACTAGGCCAGACTCAAACATTGATGTTGCACTAGAATTACAATAAGATTTTATGGTAACTTAAATGGGAGATCAAAGAAAAATATCTGAAGAAAAGGGAATTATTCATACTTATATAATTATGATAATGAGCCATCTATTCTTTCTAAATCTTCTGGGACAAAACCTTTCAACAAGTTAAGACATACTTAAAATATTTCTAATTTTTAAACACAAAATGTCAACAACAAAAAATGCAAACAATATAAGATAACATACCACTCCCATTGGGTCCACCAACAACAGATGTTTAACTATACCATTCTGTCGGCCACTGAGTACATACTGATTCTGATCAGCCGAGCTTTGTCGTACAAGAAAATCACCATCATTCTGTAACAACTTCTCAGCCTTAAATGTATAAATATTTATGACAATATCATACCTGTGAAAAGATAACATTTTACATGTGAACCTGTACTGTTTCTATTTTTAGTGGGTTTTTTTATGCTACATGTTTATTTACTTTTAACTGTCTAATGATTTTAATGTTTGCCTCTCAAGTACGATGATGTTCAAGTCAAGCTTCACTAAAGACATTATTACGCTTGTTCATATTACAACACCAGAGGTTAACTTATCCCAAGTTACAGATTTAAGAAATTTGTTTAAACATTTAAACTTAATTTCATCAGGGGATTATCCATTTTATTCTTTTTTCATTGCTCTTAGGAGATCTTAAATTTTCAATTTATTTTTGAAAAAAAACAAGGGTGCCATAGTCACAAAATACGCCCGTTTACGAAAAAGCTTTAGATGGAGATGGGGGCATTATGGATAAGTGTTATCTAGCAAGCAAGTTTTTATTCTTGGCACTGTGTTGTTAAATGAACCTTAAAACAAATCAATAGGGAAGATATGCACAGAATGTGTGACCTTGACCTTGGTTGCAGGGACCTGAATTTTATGCACGGCACTCAGCCTCACAATGATGAACATTTGTGCCAAATTATATTGAAATCCCTCTATGCATGTAGAAGTTTTGCTCCAGACAAGTGTTTTTCTATGAGCTCTAACTGTGACCTTCACCTTTGACCTAGAGACTTGGTTTATGTGCAGGGCACTACGTCTCATGGTGGTGAACAATTCTATAAAAGTAACATTAAAATTCCTCCATGCATGTAGAAAATATGCTCCGGACAACATCTGGATATTTAATCATCTCCAGTGACCTTGACCTTGCAAATATTAACCTAAATTAAATGTGTAACACCTGTAGTCATGATAGTTACCATTTGTGCTACAATCCATCAATAAATGATGACTCAATGGTCCCTATAACCATCTTCAAATTTTTATCTGAACTTTGACCTCTAAGTGTAACCTTGACTTTGGTCGCAGGGATCTGAATTTGCATGCGACACTCAGCCTCACAATGGTGAACATTTGTGCCAAGTTATATTGAAAACCCCCTATGAATGTAGAAGTTTTGCTCCGGACAAGCGTTTTTCAATGAGCTCTAAGTGTGACCTTGACCTTTGACCTGGAGACTTGGATCATGCATGGAGCAATACATATCATGGTGGTGAACATTTCCATAAAGTATTATAAAAATTCTTCCATACATGTATGATATATGCTCCAGACAAAATCTGGATATTTCACCATCTTTAGTGACCTTGACCTTGCATATATTGACCTAAAGTACATGTGTCACAGCCGTAGTCATTATAATGACCATTTGTGTTACAATCCCTCAATAAATGATGATTAAATCGTCCCTATACACATCTTCATATTTTTATCTTTTTTTAAACGGGCGTATAAAAAGTACATGTAATTTAATAACTAAAAAATTCTGATTTAAGATTTTATTCTAGGGAAATACATTTCATTACAATTCTTTATCTTTGAATGAGCTGAACTGATATTTACTTGAAAATTAAAATATAATTAAATTTCTATGAGAAAGTATTTACATTTGATAAGGTAATTACTGTATGATCTTTATGAACAAATACCAAGTCTACAGAACACCATAGTTATCACAGTTAAGAATCTTGACCAATGAATGAAACATGTGTAAATAAATGTTACATTCTTTACAACATACTCAAGTCCAAGAAAGAGGATTATTTCATGCCCTTTGATTAAATTCTATTTTTAGATCAAGGGGAGTAATTGTGTAAGTCATTTATGAACAAAGTAATAACTTTGTTGTCTCCCTTTGATTAAATTCTATTTACAAAATCTGGATATTTCATCATCTTTAGTGACCTTGACCTTGTATATATTGACCTAAATTATATGTATCACAGCCATAGTCTTGATAATGACCATTTGTGTTACAATCCTCAATTAATGATGACTAAATGGTCCATATACACATCTTCATATTTTTATCTGAACTTTGACCTCTATGTGTGACCTTGACCTTGGCCGCAAGGACCTGAATCTTGCACGCGACACTCCGCCTCACAATGGTGAACATTTGTGCCAAGTAATATTGAAATCCCTCTATACATGTGGAAGTTTTGCTCCGGACAAGCATTTTTCAATGAGCTCTAAGTGTGACCTTGACCTTTGACCTAGAGACCTGGTTCATGTGCGCGACACTGCTCCTCATAGTGGTGAACATTTATATGAAGTTTCATTAAAATCCCTCCATACATGTAGGAGATATGCTCCGGACAAAATTGGACGCCGCCCGCCCGCCCGCCCGACCGCCCGCGCCGCCCGACGCCCGCCCGCCCGCCAGGGGCGTTCCCATAATACGTCCCGTTTTTCAAACGGGCGTATAAAAAAAAATGTTTCATAACTTACATCTTTCCTGCTTAGGTTACCATGGAACCATTCTTCAAAAATTGGCGATTTATTTGGTGCACCATTTCCATTGGCCATGTCCCCTCCCCCAGCTGCCCCACCCTCTGACTCTCCATGTCCATTGGACAGGGACGAGTTGAATGGCTCTAAAAACAAAACAAGAAAGAATGCTGGTATATTGTGTGCTTTGCAAATGAGTCAATAAGCTGCAAGTAAATATGCATTTACTTCTAAATAAATACACAACTGTAAGAAAATGGTGCTGAATAGAAACATTAGTTTACCATACATTTCTTTTCAATCCATAATAAAAATGTATTGTGCAAGAAACAGAATCAAATACTTGTTGAGTATCCTGCTCTCAGGTACATTAGTAATCAGCACCGACTGACAGTAGATATAGGAAAATCCTGCTAGTAGGTAAATTACTTAGCAGTACCATGATACAGTCTTGATCTTGCCTTTAAAAGAAAGCTACACTTGTGCCTTATATACCAATCTTACCAGCAACCAGTGTTACATTCTTTTTTTATAATGTTAACTTCTTTATTAATTGGTACTGAACATACAAAGGGTACTGAAAAGTGACGAACCCAATGAGTATGTTTATATTTTCTAAGATATTGCATGAATTGTGACTTAAATTAACATTTACAATGACCCTTATCAAGTATGTCAATGTAATATAAAACATAACAATTATGAATTTGTGACAAAAAACTTCTATGCCTATCTTTTGAGCTGCCATCTATAGAGCAATAAACCCTTTACAACATTAATACAGAATGCTTAAAGTCTTCTTAAAATAAGACTTCTAAATAAATTTAATCTCACTATCGTAACACCTCACAACAACAAGCATAATATCTTCATCTCTGAAGGGATGTTTCTTTGCTGAGGTTGTACTGTGTCTTAAAACAACTTACCCATATCAAATGGATCCAAGGTACTCTGTGGAGAAGCTAGCCCACCTTTCAGTTTGTGGTTATCATAAAAATCTGACTGTGTAGGATCAAACTCGGTCATAGCATTATTTGAAGTTTTTTCTGAAATATAAAAAATGAAAAATAATTAAAGTGACATTATGCCCATCCAAGGGTATATAGTGAGTGAACGGGTGAAGCTCAAAATATGTTTTCATTTTGCCATAATCCCTTTTAATCTAATAATTAAGTTCCCATAAACAATAACAGACAGATCCAAATGAAATTTCTGTAAATATCCGTTAGAAATTACGTATAACGCTTAGTTTATAAAGAGTGGGGCAGTCATTTTAAATTTTAGGCAGATTTATAATTTTATCCTAAACATTTTCCAATATCAACTGTTAGTCAAACACCATTTTGACAGTCAATCTTTAGAAATATAAAGTCAATTCAGCTCAACTTGACTATGAAAATATGAGCATGTCACTTTAATCTCATGTAAAGAATATTCTCTTTGAAAGCATGTTGTGATGATAGGTGTCCTTAAACATCACTGATCAGTTTATGTCCAGGCCTCGTGGTTATAACACTTTTTTCTGAGTCTTGTCTCAAATCTCAGGATTTTCATTGGTCATTCTACATTCTGTGGGAGTTTCTGACCAATTAAATTACTGAGATCTGAGTTTGAGCTGAGAGAATTAGTTTATAACTGAGGCCCCAGATCAACTTGTATATCTGTATAACCTGATGAGATACTATCCCGTAACCATGGTAAAAGTTTGAGTTATAGGACACAATGTTGACTTCAGTCTTAAATCTTTGTTTGTACATGTAGCTGTAGATATATTCATTCGATAGAGGCTCATAAGAATGACTGGGCAACTTTTAACAGTTTTTATTATCACATGTATCATTATTATTATTCTTAATCGTCATCATCATCGTCATTAACATCATCACCGCCAACACCACTACCATCATTATCATCATCAACATTATTATTATTATTATAAACAACAGCCTATATTATTACATATATTATTATAATCATTTTTAATTATCATGCTGTCATGATCATCATCATCAAGACCATCACAACAGTCATCATCGTCATTATCATCATTATAACAATATTCAAAACATCTTACCTGAGTTATCATACAGGTTTTTTCCACCATCTTCACCAAAATCTATCAATGACAATTCCTTTGGTGTATCGTATGTTGGGCCGTTTGGTTCTTTAACTGATGAATACACCCCATCACTCACCTGATTTATATAATAAAATATTGATATAGTGTACAGTAAATTATACAATGTTCCAATAAACTTTGAGAGAGTAAAACAAGAGCTGTGGGTAGGACAACATGCTTAATTATTCTCAGTGCTTGATAGTAAAACAACAACCTTTATAATGTAGAATTTTCTTAGTTCAAAGGGGACATTTCTCTGTTAAAATTCATGTGAGAGTTATGGATCTTGATCAGTGACTACCTATTATGCTCTCAACTAAGTGTGTGATATTTCAACCCATTCCCTTTTGGTAGTTTTGGAGACACCAACTTCCACACAAAAACTTAACCAATTTGTTACACCAGGGTACAATACAATAGCTCCCCTTATTTCTCGAATAGTCAAGCATATATTACAACTAGCTCTGATAAAGATAAGTATTTAAACATTTATTGCATACATTTTAAATGAT